GTTTTAATAAAAGACATATTTGGTGCAGCGCAGAGAGCAATGAACTGGGAGTTGGTTTATATGGTGCTCTGGGGATGATCTTCTCTACTTTCCTAGGCAAAATTAATCACAGTACTGTTAGCCTCGGGGGTGGTATGACTGAAGGAGGCTTCTTAGGGGCTAGTAATATATATGTATTTTTTAAAATTTTGGTGCTAAGTACACAGGTGTGTTAATTTTATGAAAATGATTTACATTACTTTTATGTATGTATGTAGAACTTTAATAAAATGTTTAATAAACCTGGAGTCTAAAACTTAAGAGGAAAAATATAGTTATGGCTTTGATAACAGCAGCAGCAAAAAAAATCACTCCTATCTCATTCCAGCTGCGTCCTATGCACACATCCACTGTTGCATTTTCCACATTGTATCCTAATAATCTGTTGTGATATCACCACTGTGAGACTGTACGTGTGACTAGAGTAGGGAAAAAAAGTTTTGCAGAAAACGTCTAGAACAATGTGAGGCATCAAGAGTTGATTGCTTACACGAGTGATTTAATGAAAGAAGTGGATCCTGGTTTTTACTCTGCCTTTGAGTGTGTTATAGGGCACAAAAAAACCTCTTGGTCTACTTGTCATGTAGAAAAATAAGATATTTCATTACAGAATGGCTATCACATTTTCTAGTCTGAAAATTCTATGAGAATATATTAAAAATACAATATAAACATACCAGGAATATTTTAGAATGTTAAAAACATCCCATGGAGATTGAAATTAGTGAAAATAAGGATAGCTAAAAAATAAAAACTGCAAATAAAAAATGGTTCCAAAATATATAACTAGGGTTTCCAATTTAACTCAATTTTTATTTTCACAATCTTCTAAGTGTCATACTTCCCAGTTTAATCTCTCATTTTCTATAAGAGGAAAGCATTTTACATAATTTGAACCTGTGGTGATAAGGCAAAAATAAAAAGCAACATAACTTGAAAGTAGACTATGGTAAGTTAAAGAGGTATACTATAAACCTATGGTAAGTTAAAGCTACCAGTAAATGAATACAATGAAGAGTTGTAGCTAATAAGCTAACAATAGAGATAAAACAAAAAAATATTCAATTCTGAAAGAAGAGGTAAAAGGGAATGAAGAACAGATGGGACAAATAGAAAACAAATAGGAAGATGGTGTATTTTGATCCAACAATATCAGTGACCACATTCATTGTCAATTAGAAACTAGTTTCAATTGAATAAAAATAAAATACGAGATGTCAAAGTTTTTGCTAGTTAGCATAGTAATCAGAAGGAAATTTATAGTATTAAATATATATTAAAAATATCTGAAGTGAAATTAGAAAAAGAAGAGTAAATTATAAGCAGAACAAGCAGACGAAAGGAAGTAATGAACATACAAGCAAAAATCAATGAACTAGAAAACAGAAAGATGACATAAAAAATTAAGTAAGCCAGAAAATGATTGAGAAATTTAATGAAATCGATAACTTCTAGCCATATTGAGAAGAAATAAAAGGGAAGATAAAAATTACCAATGCCAGACTTCACCATACATTCTATAGATATTAAAAAGATAATGGGGGACTATCAGGAATAACTTTACGCCAACAAACTCAAAGACCTTAAAAGACACGAATTACCAAATTTCACTCAAGAAGTAAACCTGACACCAATATTCTTTGTGAACGTATATGTGAATAAAATCTTAGCTAATTTAATTCAACAATATATTAAAGCAATAATACTTCATGACCAAGTGATGTTTATCCTACAAATATAATGTCAGTTTAACCTTTGAAAAAAATTAATGTAATTCATGATTCTAATAAAATAAAAAGAAAAAAACATGTGCTTATCTCAAAAGATTAAAAAATTGAATGAACTTCAACCATTCATGAATAGAAAGGAACTGTTTCAACCTGATACAGGGTATCTGTAAAAAATCTACAGATACCATGTACTTAATGGTGAAGTTACAAAAATTTATACCTTAAGAACAGGAATAAGGCAATTATACCTATATGATAAGATATATATCGTGGGTTAAAAAATTTATCTGATTGGGTATCTGAATAGTGGATCCGTATCTCTGTATGGATTTTGGCATTTTATCAACATGATAATAACAATAAAACTCATGGCTAATAATTATGTATTATGTGCACAACATTGTTAAGTGTTCTATATACATTATCTCATTTAACCCTCATGATAAACTTTTGTCCTCTTCCCTATTTTATAGTTGAGTTTGAAAGGAGTCAAGTAACTTGCCAAAGTTCACGCAGATGGTCAGTGGAATGCACATCTTCATAACTTCAGCAGTGATACCTTTCAGTTAAACAAAACAAAAATCTCCACTCAGGCAAATTATTTTATAGTAGCTGTTGAAATCAACTCTGGTCTGAGTTTCGTTTTTGTGTTACACTATTTTTGTTCTCCTTTATTGGTGGATAAATCTTGGCTGACGTTTAGGTTCTTTGTTTTACCTATGGAGACCTCCTTGGTCTCCTCCTTCTCTTGTAAGCATCTGGGAATCCTTGATGTTACTTAGGACCTGGATTACAGAATTCCTCATATCATCCCTTGAACATAGGAAATGAAACTCCTACCCATCCTCTGGCCTTCTTCCCCATTCCCCATCCCTACCACCCACACACGTAAGGTAATAGTTGGTAATTTTCCTTGCTCAGTTGGTGGCTTGGCTAAGAGCGGAAAGGATAATTACACTGCTTTTAGCTACTAGCCAAGAGGGAAAGATGAAAAACACTTGATCAGCTGGGAACTGAGTTAGACAATTTTTTCCAGTGTTTATTATAGATATGTCCTTAATCCCATTTCAGTGTTAGAAAAACCATGCCTCAGCATTTGACTGTCAGATGTTATACTGTGGTGGTTTTTAGTGCTTCCCCTCAAATACTTCTGGTTTTCAGACCCATGATATGGTTGTACTTCTTGGCCACTTTGTACTTTCGTGGGTACTGCCGATGAGCTGTGAGAAGTGATGCATGTCAGATTTAGTTGTTGCTATGAGACCACTGTAGTTCCTTTCATCCTCTGAGGAGTGACCTGTAATTTTAGAGATGGTGGCTACTTTTTCAGCCTGAGTTCCTGAATTGTCATGATGAGTAGAACTTCCCTGCCTGTCGGTGGTATGAGTGAAAAAAGGGCCTTTTTTGTTTTAAGCCATGAAGACTTTCTTCCACATAAAGAAGAATATTTGTGGGATTAGATGTTATGCTTCTATAAAAATATTTGTTAAATATGGATAGTTTTATAACTAAAAATGGTAGAAAAAATTGATAGCTTGAGTTTTAAAAAGTTTGAAAAGATGTAGCGTGGTAAAACAGAAAGCACCTTGGCTATAGAGTCCCACTAGCAGCAAGTCAGCGTTCCCACCCAAGGTCAAGGCAGATAACTCCCTGAGTTCAGTTGCCTCAGCTGAAGAGGATATACTTATGTCTGCACTGCTGTAATTTTTAAGCAAGAGCATGCCTGTCACAAAAATAATAGTAACTAACATTTGTTTAGTATGTAATGTGTGCTAGGCACAGGTCTAAACCCTTTATACTTATTGCTATGGACTGGCTTGTGTCCCCTGCCCACCCCAACAAAATCCATATATTGAAGCCCTAACCCCAATGTGACTGTATCTGGAGATGGGACCCTTGGGAGGTAATCAGGTTAGATGACATTATGAGAGGGGGGCCCCTATGCTGAGATTAGTGGCTTTGTAAGAAAAGAAAGAGAGACCACACTCTTCTCCACAGTACGAAAACACAGTGAGAAGGTGGCCATAGCAAGGCAGGAAGAGAGACATCAAATCTTACAGTAACCTTAATCTTGGACTTTAGCCTCCAGAACTGTGAGAAAATAAATTTTTCAGCCACTCAGTCTAGGGGTATTTTGTTATGGCAGCCTGAGTAGACTAATATTAAATAATTCATTTATCCGTCATGACTACCCTCTCAAGTAATTTCTATTATTATCCAATCTCTACAGATAAAGGAACTGAGATACAGAGAGGAAAATGACTTGCCTCAGGACACACAGTGATTCCAATCCAGGCAGCTGGTCTTCAAGCCTTTCTCTTAACCACTGTGCAATGTATGAGAACACAAGAGGAAATTCTCAATTACAGGCTGTTAGTACAGTAGTTACCCCTTACCCACTGGGGACATGTTTCAAGATCCCCCAGTGAATGCTGAAACTGTAGACAGTACCAAATCTTGTATATAGTATGTTTTTGCCTTTACAGAAATACTTATAATAAAGTTTCATTTATAAATTAAGCACAGTAGGAGATTAACAACTATAATAATAAAGTAGAACAATTATACTAATATTCTATTAAATAAAGTTACATGAATGTGGTGTATCTCCCTCAAAATATATTATTGTATTGTAAGCTCCCATTTTTGGACCTCAGTTGACCAAGGGTAACTGAAACTGTGGACAGTGAACTATGGATAAGGGGGGACTAGTGTACTACAAACTCACTGTCCATGAGGAGTATGGTCAGCTCCATATGGGGCCCTCGTTGTTCATGTTGCAGCTCCTCACAGGTGCAGGGTGTAGTGCAACTGGTGTAACCATTTGGTTTGCTCATTTATAACTACAGGGCAGAAAACAACAATGTCTCTGTTGTTTTTGAACCCAGAGAACCCATTCCCTCCATTTGGGAATGTGGTGGCAGGGGGTGGGGAGATGGATATATTAATACAAAACACTCGGTTTGGCTTCCTAAAAATAAGATGGACTAGAAGAAGAGTCTGCATGTGAGTTACTTGTTACCCCAGTGTGGGTAGCTGCAGAGCACCTCCCAGCAATGGTGCTTATGACCTTGAAGTCAAAATTTCGAGGGATGTGAATTTCTGTACTCAGAAAGCCTCAAGCCTATTGGGTAATTGTGCATTCAGTGATCTTTTCATCCTGTCTCTAAATGCAAAATTGGTCTTTGTGTAGACATGATGCTAATGTCGTTTTCTTTCCTCTGCATACAGATGGAGCATACAGAGGACCCAGATGCATTTGTGGTGACTTGAGGACAAGGCTTCAGTAGGAGATTATGTTAATCACCAACTCATAGGCCTGTAAGCTTGAGTTCTATGTAGGTAAGTATATGATATCTTTCATAAACACTAAATTAAGTGCAAACATATTTTTATATTGTCATCACTTTGAAGAGATTTATCTTTCAAAGCAAAGAATTATCTCTAACTTATAAATTCGGTCCATGCTTCCCTTAGAAGAGTGTTTGTTTTTCTAAATCTAATCCTCAGAAATCAGCCATGAGGTTCCCAAATATTTCAATCTTGTTAATGACTCTCGCTTTAAATTCAAATCCCATTTCTCAATATCTCTCTGAAATAGTTGAGAAGCCCTGTCATTTTTCAATTATTCCTGGTATGTTAAGAGGATTTCGAAGTTATCTGTAATAAGCCCTGTTCCCCCCGGGTCCCTCCCCACAAAGCAGGGACAAGGGTGAAAACTTACATGGCCCTGGATTTGAGGGAAAAATGGTGCAATGAGCAAGTTTGAGATGATATTAGGGATTGAAATAGAGCGTGTTTGGTCACAAGCATGCTAACCTCAATTCAGTTCCCTAAGGGTAGGTAGATGAATGGATATAAGAAAATGGGTATGACAGCCCCCATTTACTTAGCACTCATAGTGTACAGCCATTGGTTGAAGTGTACCGAGCACATTGTCATTAAATCCTTATAATAATGCCATGAGTAAGTATTACAATTAATTACTATTTAAAAAGGTGAGCAAATGGAAGCTTCTAGGGATTAGTAACTTGCTACTTAAGAGAGACAAGGTTGCAAAGCTGGTTAATAGCATAGCTAGGATTTGAACCTGAGCATGTCTGATCCCAACATTTTAATCTTTAGCCCCATGTGATGCTCCATCTCCTCAAAAGAGATTACTGGGGGGAACCAAAGAGATGAGTGAGAAGAAAGAAAGCCTTCTCTCACTTCCATGCACAAAAGACAATGAGATCCTCAGTTTTCAACATTTATTCAGCAAACATTTATTAGGCCCCCATAACATATAGGGTGCTCTGTGTGAGGGGTGGTGTGTTCGAGGCACTCTATTAGGGGCACTATGTCACGTGCACTCTGATCGGGGCACTGGCATTTGATGACGCAGACTCTATTACAACAGAATCTTCTCTCTCCACTTGTGACAAGAGCCAGAATGTAAACAGAAGGCTCCTTCATCTAATGGGGACTGAAGAGCTGAGATAGTAGTTCGAAGTTCTAAATAGTGTTTCAGACTCTCCTAAAGATTTCCTGGAGATACTTCAAAATTCAGTTCAATTCAGTGTTCATTAAGTCTGAGTGTATGTCAAGCAGAGGGTATATACTGAGGATACAGAGATAGTTTTAGATGCTTTCCCTGCCCTTGAGGAGCTTTCAGTCTAAAGGGGACCATTTATCTGTTTCAATTGCAAATACAGAGATTCTGTTACCTAAATAGATAAATGTATGAATGCTTCTATACCTGACAGGGTTTGAAAGCATGAAGTATGTCCCTACAATAAAAGACCATGAGGTAGAAAAAATTTAAAAAAATGAAGAGAAAGGGGAAAAAAGGTTAGGGTAGTGAAATTAAACCTGGGGAAATTATTGGTATCTGAGACACACTCTAATGTTCTGTACAACTTTTCATTGTCGGCTGTTAGGCTTGATCTTGAGCTTCCTAGCTGTCAGAGCAGAAAAGGAAACATGATCGTCACAAAGCTCACAATATCTATAGAAACGTTACCTATTGCTCAGGAGAGAAATATATATATATGCTTTTCCAGGCATTGCAACCTGAGAAAAATTTTTGCTTCTGAGAGCCTTCCTAAAGGAGAACCATGTGAAATGGTGACCCATATCCTCAACACCACAGCACGTTCCAATAATAAACACAATAGGAATTTCCAAGTGGTGGCTTATATTGGCACATCAGCTAAGTTAATAGTACCAAGGTGAGTATCTGAAAATAACATCAACAAGGACCAAAGTGATAAGTCCAAGGCCAGGGTGACTATTGTTTTGGCTTCACTCTGGGCTAGAAATTCACCTCTGGCCTGGGAGGTGACCTCCATCCTAAATGATGAGCTCCTAAAGGGAAGGATAATTAGCTGCTTTACTCAACCTCAAGTGCTTACGGCAACTTAATCACCTGCCTGTGTTTTTTGTTGTTTGTTTTCTCATATGTGGAAGTGAGACAGACTGGGGTTATCTCTGTTCTGTTACTTAAATTGTGTCACCCTGGGCAATTTGCTTATCCTTCCTAAGCTTTAGTTTTTCTCTTCTGCAGAGTTGGAAGAATAATACTTGCTTCATAAGTTTATTGGGAAAAACAGGTGAAATAGTGCATAGAAGCACGAAGTTCTGTGCTCAGGGTGAAATAAATACATATTTAGCAGGAGCTATCAAGATGGCAAAAAAACTGTAATGTTGGTAAAAATGTCACTTGTCTTCAAATTGCAGGGTTATGCCTCCCTTTTCCTTTATGACTTTAGTAACACCAAAAACTTTCATTACATTAGTCTATTTTGCTAGATTTTCTTTCTACTGGGGATTCAGTATAGCACTTATAATGCTTTATTTAACTTTGAATAATATTTTGTATAAAACTGTTTTGCTAATAGCCAAGACAAACACTTGAGCACTTCGGGTTAATGAAAGAAAATGCAAAAGAAAATGAAACAAAACAAAAGCAATTCAGACCAACAGAAACCTCACAACCCTTTCCCAAAACTCTAGGTGTTAGCATCCGATAGAAAAGTGCACACATAGCTTAAAGAAATACCCTGGAGACCTGTATGGCTGTATGACTAATTTTAATTAAAATGAAGATTTTCAGAAGCAGTGCTCTAGTTAATGCCCTTGGTTAATAGACAAATACTAATTTGCATATCTGGACAATGCATATTCAAAGCAGGTGATAAGGCCTTGCAATATAAAGGCTCAGAAAGCAAATTGCTGGCTGACCTTGGACTGCATGATCAACCTTGTGTCGAGTCCACAAGTCTGTATACCTCACAAAATGGCCTCTGCCTCTTTAATGCTCATAGGTATAGAAATGTGCTCTTTCTATTTTTCTTATCTTGGCCCTTTCTCTTTTCTTTCTCATTATGGGTTTCTTGTGCAGTTGCCATCAGGTTAGGTGTTGCTAAGGCCAGCTGAGCCTCTGATCCCACTCTAAGTCAGGCCTCAGGGGACAAATTCCTGGAAGACCTGGGTCAGCACTGCAAGACTTTGCTGAGTTTTCCTGGAAATAGGGACAATTTGAATTCTGTTTGTTGGAAATCAGATCTCCGTGAACTAGAGCGTGTAGCCATGATATGAATGTCTCTGGCTGGCATGTAGCATTTTCTAGGGTCACACTGTCCCAGTCTTATGTCACAGTGCGATTCGGATGGTGTACTAGAGCAGCGGTCCCCAACCTTTTCGGCACCAGGGATTGGTTTCACGGAAGACAATTTTTTCCACCGGTGTGGGGTGGGTGGTTTCGGGATGATTCAAGCACACTACACTTATTGTGTACTTTATTTCTGTTATTATTACATTATAACATATAATGAAATAATTATACAACTCACCATAATACAGAATCAGTGGGAGCCCTGAGTTTGTTTTCCTGCAACAAGCAGGAAATGCTGCTGCCCCTGATCTGACCAGAGGTGTGGAACACAGGTGATGATGCCAGCAATGGGGATCGGCTTTAAATAGGGATGAAGCTTTGCTTGTTCACCTGCCGCTCACCCCCTGCTGTGTAGCTGGTTCCTAAAAGGCCACAGACTGGTAAGGTCTGCAGCCTGGGGGTTGGGGACTGCAGGACTAGAGAATATCTAATTAAGTGTGCAAATCAGATCATGTTAAGTGGCTTGAGCACTTGGGAGAGAAAGATTGAATTTCAAAGTAACTTTAGAGAATGAGTCAGACTTGCAGACAGGAAAGTTACATTTGATTATGCACATAGTGTAGGCAGAGAGAGGGAGAGGAAGAAAAGAGCAAACGGGAATCGGGATATGTGCTGTGTCTAGCGAAGCGTGGCACAGAGTAATCACTAAAATAATATTGGTTTAATTGGATTAACCTAATAAAGATTCAGTCAAAAAAGATCAGGACTGCTCTTCCATTAACCCGGTTCACAAAGGCATACAAAGTTAAGACTCTTCCACAAACTTTATAAGTATCAGTGCTAGTTGCTTTAGTTGCTTCAAAAAACAAAACAAAACAAAAACCCAAAAAACCCCAAAAGCAACCCCCTCCAAACAACAACAACAAAAAACCCATCATACAATAAAGAAAGAAAAACTGGTATTCTTTTTACTCCTTTTATTTCCTTTTCCCTTTATCCTGAAAATGCAATTGAAGCTGTAAGAGATGCTGATATAACTTTTAATTTAGATTTAAAGACTGATTGTACTGGGCCTAGTTCCCATTATTGACAAGAAATCCCCTCCACCCACAAGAAAACACTGGGTCCTCTTAGTAATTCTGGACCTGCTCGCTCGCTCTCCTTTCTGTGAACACCACTGGGGCAGACAGAATCACTGAAATTACTGATAAGCAAGATGCTTAGGAATGAAGAGGATGGTGAAGAACCATGATTAACTGTCAGAAGACTGAGTTTAGGTGGAAGGGCAACTTGTTCATAGTGACCTCTGGCAGGTGACCAGAGAGGGCACAGAAGAGGCCTGCTTTGGCCCTCTCTGGAACATGCCAGTTTCTTATTCATATCAAGGACTGGAAGTTTCTTGGCTGTGCGGCCTCTGGACTTTGTCTCAAGCAGTTATTTCTGTCCTTATTCCACAGCTCCCCCATTTTTTTTTTTTTTTTTTAAGATTTAAGTAAAATCTACCCAGGCTAGAGAATACAGATGTTTTCATTATTTTTAGCAGTTAGACTAAATTTAGAGGAAAATGTGATTTGAAACAATTGTTAACTCTTAATAGACTATGTGAAATTGTTTTGCTTTTCTCTCTCATTTACCTTTACTATTTGATTATAAAATCTGCTTTGAACTCTGGAGCCCTGAAAGCCAATTTTTTTGAGGAAAACAAACCCAGGATTAAATAGAGATAGACATTTGTCCCTTT